CGATTCGCGGTCTGAGAAGCAGTGGGGAGTGATCAGCAATGGGGCGGTCGAGGCACGCGGTGGTTGGCAAATAGGTTTCGGCGACGACGGGGCTACAATCAAGCTTGGGTCGGTCTAAGGTAGACGGGTTCGTTTCAGGGACGTATTGTCAGTTGAGATTTGACAGTCTGCCGAGATCGTAGTCCTTCAAAGAAGGGATGGGGGACGCACGGCATGTCGATCTTCGTCAATGGCATCAAGCAAGTGGTTCCTCGTAAGACCTGGTGACTCGAGAGTGTGGACGCATTCGACCGTTCGCAGTCTGTGCAGACAGCTCTGCACAGCAACGGCGTGGCTTCCGCGAGCGCGTCCGGGTTGAAGTCAGAGAGCCAACGGTTTTCGGCCAGCCGCTGTCACTCAAGCCTCGTGTGTACTTGTTCAATGGTGGCCGTGCCTTGGAGCTAACCGGCAATCACGGCTCACGGCTCACGGCTTGACCTCACCGTGTAAAGCAGTTGGTGTTCAGGCGTTCTTCGGCAGCCGTGCATCTGACTCTGCGCCTCCGTCATGTTGAGGTAAGGTAGTTCCTGGCGACTCATTAGCGGACTTTGGGTATTCCTCGCGGAAGACGCACAATAGAACAAAACGGATGTATGCCATGCTGTACAAGGAAGTCCTTGTGCAGGAACTCCCTGAGTCTTCTGAAAGCGGAAAGAAAGATACGCGGACCAGAAGGATCAGTGATCAAAAGCTTTAGTGGTGCTGGTCGAGATCTCTGGAAAGTCGACTTCGGACGAGGCATGGCCAAGTGCTTCCGCACATTGACCTCATCGGTTTCTTTGTTCAGCTCCGCAGCCCTTTCAACGGGATTTTGAGCCAAGAAGAAGCCACTCGGAACTCTCTAGCACGTGAGAAGCCGTGCTGCGTAGGTACCACCTTACCTGGCTACCTTTACCTTACGCTCAGACCATCTCTCCACGCCACCCCAACTCTCGCCCGAAGTCACACACCACACGCTCCTTAAGGTACACAACGAAATAGATGGCTTGTTAGCCACTCCACGGACTTGCGCTTCCAGTCCATCTGATTGTCGAGTCCCACCACCCAGTTATATCGTAAACGAAGCGTGAACGACCGTGAACGACCGAAAACGATACTCCCACACTCGACCGACCGATCTATCTTTTCGCGTGTCATGCATGGTTCCTTTTCAGGCACCTTTTCAAGTCAGCCCGTATCAGAGTACCTCTCGACATGGCCCGCCCGAGGAGTGCATGGCAGCCATGGGAAGAGCGTCGTGGTCAAGCATCCAGCCAACACCATATCGTTTGCCTCTCGTGGTAGACCTCAATATCCGAATCCAGTCATTCAGCCCCGTACTATTGATGACCAAGATGGTCCATGCCATTGGCTTAGCTTCAAGCGTCCTTACCACACTCAGAGCAGCCTTCGCCTCATCGTTCCTTGTTCGGCCTAGCCCATCAGGCTACTGCAACGAGTACTGAGCTGACTTTCCTTCTGTCGCTTGCCGACCGCCAGAAGAACACAGCAGGTTGAATTCCCCTTGACCCTCCTCCCCGGACCACCCGATTCTGCCTATTGCCGGGCCTCGATACCCTTCCCACTGGACTGGGAAGAGGGTTACATTATCCCAAATTGCCCGACGTCAGGTTAGGCTGCCTCGGATGTGACAGGCATGCAAGACTAGCACGACTTGGGCAATCTTCGCTGTGAGAGCTTTCAGCTACCGACGCTGTATTTCTGCCACGCGGAGCACGTGAGGCTCGTCAAAAAAAGGACTTCCCCAGAGTCGTTCTTTGTTTTCCCCACCTCGCCAGTTGGTTTCCAGTAGCCTGGGCTCTTTGATTCCCGGGACCTTTTTTCTTCCATCTTGGGTGGCCAGTTCTCTGAGACATGTCCGGGATCTGGACCCGGCTCCTGGCTCCTGGCTCCTGGCTTTTTGTGGCTCCCTGACCATCCTCGCAGCATAACCAGCTGAGAGTGCGGGATGTGTGGTGACTGTCAGGCAGCTGAGCTGACCGTCCCTGGTCGCCTCCAAAGTCTCCGCTCAACCCAGTCATAGGCACTGCGTCCGCCCGGTGAGCGACTCTTGGTGATACGCCGGACCTGCATCTCACTTCGTAACTGTCGTGCAGAAGGACAGAAGAAATCATGCCATCCGATCGAAAAGTGCCACGCTCGGATGGCTTAACGGTCACAATGCGCACCTCCGTCTCCTTCAGGTGGTCATCCAACGGCCCTTAGCACACAGCTTGCTCATGATCATCCGGGCTGCCACCCTGCCAACTCACCCATGGCGCTCGATAGCTCCGACGACCATAGTCCAGCCCTAGACGCCCTGGGCACCCTCTCGACTGGCTCCCCTGCCTGTGCAGTCATTCATCAGCCCAGCTTGTCGGTGAGGCTAGCGAAAAGAGCGGCACAATAACCATGTGGCTCCAGTCAGATCAGTGCGGAGCCTAACGAAGCTTATCTCTCTGCAGCACAGTGCTGACTGGGAGGCTTTCCAGGCCCAGGCCCGCCATGCCCGCAATACGAGACGATGTGGTGGGCGGCCACTGAGAGAGATGGGGGGAGGCATACAAACAATTGTTGGGTTTGGCCAATCGACAAATAATAATCGACAATGTCGCTCCTGGGGGTTGATTCCACCCGCACCAGGGCGCATCGCACTACCCCGGGTGCTCTAAACCCTGTCCGGAGGGAAAGGGGTCCAGCCAGAGTCATGTCTGCTAATTCGGGACCAGCAAGAGGTTCCCGTGCTTTGTTCTTCGGCTTGGTCCCTGGAGTGGGCCTTGTGTCTAGCCAAGTAGCTGGCGAGGCCTGAGCCAGATAGCCGGAACGACCTTTCGGGGCTGGCGGTCTTAGCTTCTGACAGATGGGCACACACTCCAGAGAAAAGAATGGTCGTCTCGATACCCCTGGCAGCGTCAGACGACTGCCGGTCGACGAGCGGCTTGGCAGGGGATTGAGCTCGCTTGCAGCCTCGGGGATGATGGGCTCGACCACGCGAGGTCAAGCCTCTCATATCCACGCAGCTATCGACATATTCGAGGACGGGCAGATATAAAGAGCAAGTCACCAGCCTCAACTCTCCGGAGATTGTGTCTATCATAACCATCTTCACTTGATCAGTAAACCACCTCCCACGCCCCCATCTTCCAGAACGGGCAACCCACAAAACACTGTCGGTCAGTCATTACGCTGACTTATGCCCCAACCTACCACCACTTAGTACCTCATTTGCAGCATGCATCTTCCCACCATCTTGACAACAACAGTAGCCCTGGCCTCTGTGCCGGGCGTGCTTGGACACCCAGGCATGGGCAAAGCCCTCGGCGAGATCATGTCACGACAGGCAGATGAGGGCGACTCAACAGAGCTCCTCGGCGACCTTGTCACTCTGAAGGACAAAGATCTCACAAATGTCGGCAAGGATATCAAGAAGCTGCTCACCGGCAAGGGCAATCCCGAGTCCAATGAAAAGTACACAAAGGTTCCCCCTAAGAACTCGGCGGCGTGCAAGGCGGACACTTGCTGCATTTGGAGCTACATCGCCAAAGATATGTATGGCTTCATGGCCGGCCAGTCGGGTCGTTGCACAAAGTGGGCACGTTTCGCCGTCCGCATGGGATTCCACGATGCCGCCGGCTGGTCCAAGTCTACAGCCAGCGAAGGCAATGGCGCAGACGGCAGTATCATTCTCAGCAACAGCGAGCTGGATCGCTCCGAGAACAATGGTCTGCAGGAGATGGGCGCTCGCTTCCAACAAATGTACGACAACTACCGAGGGCAGGGTTGGGACATTGGCATGGCCGACCTCATCCAGATGGGCGCCAACGTTGCCACCGTGACATGCCCTCTTGGCCCCCGCATCAAGACCTATGTTGGCCGCAAGGACAGCGCCACGCCCGCTCCCGAAAACCTCCTCCCAGACGTCAATGCGGATGCCGACAGCCTGATCGCGCTGTTCCGTGACAAGACCATCGGCCCGCACGGCCTCGTCGCCCTTGTCGGCGCGCACACGACGAGCCAGCAGATGTTCGTAAACGAATCCCGCGCCGGTGACCCTCAGGACAGCACACCCGGCGTTTGGGATGTCAAGTTCTACCCCGAGACTACGGGCAAGGCACCAGCGCGTGTGTTCCGCTTCCCCAGTGATATCAAGCTGTCGCAACACCCTACAACGAAGAAGGAGTGGAAGGAGTTCTCCGGTGGCGGCGGACAGAACCACTGGAACGAAGACTACGCCCGCGAATACATCCGACTGTCTCTCCTCGGCGTCAACAACATCAACAAGCTGACCGAATGCACCAAAGTCCTGCCGCCCACCACCAAGAAGTTCTCGCCCTCTGATCAGCGCAAGGTCGAGAAGTGGCTCAACAACACTGATCGCAAGGGCAAGGCGGCCAAGATCGCGGAGAACCTGCTGGCGGGCGACCTTGTCGTCGACGACGTTCCTGCCACGGCGAGTCCCACGGCACCTGCTACCGTGACGCCGGCGGCTTGATGGAGAGAGGATTCTGCAATAAAAAATGGTAGGCGTTTTGGGGGGAATGGCAACGATGTTGGGACTCTGGCGTATCGGTACATGGGGTCAATGAAATAAACTTAGTAGTAATGAAATACATGATGAATGAATTATTCTTAACCTGTTAGCAACAAGTTGCACAACGTCCAGAATCTGTCTCGGAGTATTTCTACCTTGTCGCCTCCCTTCCCGACCGTTACCTAAAAGCTGTATGCTGAACCCCTACGTCACCCAGGTGGCACCAGTCGGCCTACCTAGATCTATATCCTCGGCGCCGCGTAAAAACAACGGACTGAAACAGGACAGGACAGGTGGAAGTAGAAGGAAGTGCCTATGCAAAGCTAAATGACCGACGTCGCGTACTGCAAGAGGCGCTTCCACGACCTGCAATCAATCTACCTTACCGCTGCACTTCACAGCACTTTTGCCCCCCCTTCCCCCAAATCTGGTCGCTTCCAGACTTCCAGCCATGGGCCACCACAACATTCGTTATGTTGGCGATCCGAATGCCGACTCAGGTTTCTGGGGCACTCCGACCAGTGTGGCCAAGTAGGTTCATCTCGTGCCGACAGGGCACCTCAGAAGCATACTGATTATTGCCCAGCTTCTGCGAGGAAGACTATGCCGTTACAAGCTACATAGCCGAATTCATCAATACTCTGACCAATCTATCTTACAGTCTGTATCGACTCTATCCCAAAATGGGACCACCGTCCATCTGACCGACTGCAGTTTACTATGCTTTTCGCTATGCAAAAAGTGCCAATCCTACAGCCCCATGGTATCGGAAGATTGACTTCATGGCCTTCTCCCTCATCTGCGTCGGCGTCACGTCCGCCATGTTCCACGGCACCATGCATCAGGTGCCCCAGCTCATGGACGACCTATCCATGCTTCTCCTTGCCGGTGCCCTCCTCCAGCCCATCTACGCCCTGAACCAGACGCCTTTTCGCCGCGTGCTCGTCGCGTTGACGCTGATTTTTGGCATTGGCACCGTGTCTGTCATCTACGCCCGCAGCGGCCGCATCGTCATCCACATGTGGACCTTCATCACGCTTCTGACGTTCATCTGGCCACGCACACTGTATCTGGTGCGCAAGACGGGGTATTCGGGGGCGCAGAAGAGGGTGCTGATGCGAAGCTTTGCGCGCGCCGGCTGGGCTCTGCTGGCAGGGTATGCGCTGTGGAACGTCGACTTGGAGCTGTGCCTCGGGTTGAGAGCCCTGCGAGATAAGGTGGGCATGCCTTTCAGCTGGGGCTTGGAGCTGCATGGCTGGTGGCATTTTTTGACGGCGCTCGGCGCGAGCCACTACATCCGTCTCGTGAGGATGTTGACGGGAGAGGAGCCGATCAAGGTGACGCCGGAGGACGAGGCGGCTGTGAAGGCGCACAGGCAGGAAAAGGAGGCTAGGCACAAGAGGTGATGAGGATGACCGGACGACGCAGAACCTGTACGGGGTTTGTTGTCTGTGACCAATATGGGCAGTTAACCTTCACAGCATACAATCCAACCTTGTAGACGAGACAAGTAGGCATTCAGTTCGTGATCAGTCTAGGTAGTGTTCCACTTGAGGAGCTCCACCAACACCTTCATTACAACCGACTAACACGAATGATGATCAGTACGAAAACGCCACGACCCATGGGTCTACTGATTCCCATGGATTTGGGGGCCAGGACGCGAGCACTAGGTCCGTCAACATAGAGCTACCTCACAGCGCGACCTTGCATAATTCATGATAGACACTTCGAAAAACAAAGGCAACCAATCCTCTGTCATTTGCGAGGCAATCATCTGATGCCACAACTGACTGACTGCTCACGTGTCGTGCGTCTGATGCTGAAGTCTTCGAGTTTCAGCTCCGCTCAAGTATTTGCATTTAACAACAATACATCAACCAAAAGAAAGAATGCCGTGCAAATATCAGGCAAGGGAAAACCTCCAGCAGCAAACTCGGGAGCAAAGGTCAACTCGACAAGCACATCTGGACGACGCAGTTCGCCTGGCATCACGTGCACACAGAGGGAGACCCAGTGGGAGAAAATTCTCATTCAGGAGACCCCCACAACGCGGATGCTGTAAGCATGATTGGCCAAGTACGCTGGCTGGCCACGAGTGGGTCGGCATCTCAGATCGCCTATAAAGCAGTCGTCGCTGGCTGCCCGTTTTACCCTTTCTCTTTTTCTTCTTCATGTCGACAATACTTCAGTAAGCCACCCCCTAATAGGAGCACCACCTGCGCCCACGCAGGCAACCTCGCAAGACGGCCGCTAACCCATCCCTTAGGAGAATCATTTCTATAGTATTCGACCTACTCTGGGTTCTCCAAAAGAGCCACAGATCCCACCCTGGTTGATGATTGATATCCTCGGCACCCTAGAGTGAATGGCTCTGGTTGCCCTCGCACTGCCTGCAAAGGTGGCGGCTCTTCCTTCTGGAAAGCTGTATAGAGGGCGTTTGATGATCTCGTCCCTGTCTTGCGGTCTTGCCCTTGGGCGCGCGGACGGGGTGGGTGCTGATGGACGTCTGACAGGCGTGTCTTTTTCCTCATTTTCATTGCGCGCCGAGCTCGCCTCGGTCGTGAAGAAGATCGCTGGTTGACACTAAGCTTTAGAAGTAGTCACGCGTGACAATCTACCAGGCAAACGCCCCTTACGTCCTGCCGTCAGACAATCGCTCCCCAACCACAGGTCCCTTCCTCGCCAACGATCACCTCGGCACAAGCGACGATGCTGTGTGGAACGCCTGCAGCCCTCCCAAATCCTATGAATCGCCATCGGCCGTCCTCGCGAAAGCGCAATTCCTTCTTTCCTCCGACTCAGAACCGTTTCCTCGCCCCCAGTATCACTGCTCTTGTTGCTAGTGGCACACGCGCTTCTCTGTGCGGATACTGGTGCACTACATCACTCCTGGACAACTGCTATTGGAGGCTCTCGGCTTCGCAGTCACCCGCCTGGTCACTTTATATCGCGGGGCGTACTCTGTACCGTTTGCTGCGATGCCCCGTGCCGCGGCATGCTCAACAACCCGGCTGCAGGCTGGCTTTCATACTAAGCTCGGCGTCGCAATTGCAGAGAAGAACTTTCCACCTCCACCGAAACAGATCCAGCAACCGCTATAACGACATTCATGGCTAAGGCGTGAAACGTTCCTATGACTTTAGAATTAGCGCTGCTCTCTGCGGCCGTAACCGGGTGAAGCGGCGGTGGGGGGAGGGGCAGACACAGGTTGCCCGAACTAGAAGTTCGCCTCTGGCCAGCATGCAGTAACGGTGTTGGTCATTCGAAAGGTACCGATCTTGGTGCCCAGGCTTGTCTCAATACCCAAGCTGTAAGATAGGATCCGTGGACGAGTGAGTTCAGCATCCTACCGCGTTGACAGCAGTTTCATTGCAGCCACCATAGCAGAGTCTATCCAGTCAGAATCCTCACGGGGATAGAAACGGTTCGAATCTGGTTGTGAGAACCAAATAATCTCAGCAATGGCAATGATCGCCAAAAGACCTCTTATGTGGCTATCAACCTCGGACTCCATTTTCTGTGAGGACGATAAAGAGGCCAACGGCATGTCGTCCGCAGGTTATTTTCGGTAATTATGAGGCCTTGCAATGCTCCTTCGACGGAGCGTAGCCGCCATGCCTGCGCCCCTTACTTGGGACTAGAAGATGTCAGCTAAACCCTGCCAGTCACCTAGGTACTCAGGTAGGTAGCCAACAAGATGCCGCCGCGACGACTATGACTCGGGGTCAAGAGAACGCATCAATTTAGCCTTAGGTCGTGGTACCTAAGCCACATTGACAGATTCACATGCTCCACGAATCGAATCTCGATGTTGCCGATGATCTGTTGCGTCATTTTTTACTTCAACCAAGCTTGGGCTGGCTACGGAACAATCTTTTGGCTTCGCAACATATGGACAGGCCGACCAATGCCAATGCCTTTGGTATCCTCGCCCTCCATCAAGGTAGATAAGCAATAGGTCCAAACCTCCGTCACAACGTGGGCAAGGTTGCATCCGCACACCTACCTACCGTACTCACAGCATACCTAGGTAGTGGGGAGAGCCGTGGCGAAGTGCCGTCGTGGGGCTTCGCCCTTCGCCATCATCTCTCCGTAATACCCCTGCTTCCACCTACCTGATCGCCTCTGCTAGTCGATTACCGGGTTAGCTGGCTACGGGCTTTAAGTGAGGTAGGGACCAGCATCTCGTATTGGATGAGACCCTGGACTGGAATGCTGGCCTACACCGTGACGTTAAATTGACAGCCCTCAGGCAGCCCGTATTTTATCACGTCAATAATGATTCGGCTGACCTTTCTAACTACCACTCCTTCTCACATCCATGATCAATTCACACCTTGAGACTCAGGCCGACCCGATCCTTATTCCAACGCATCAAAATCTGACTGCGTGCTCATGTGCTCTCCTCAGTCAAGGCGCCGGCACGAGGTTGCGCCTCGCCGAACAAGCCATACCGTACGCTCAGATATTCCAACTAGCAGCTACAGGGCAACGAACGAACGACTAGATATACAACTATGCATTCGAGAGGTACGGTACAGTGGTACCAAGGTGTGATTTCGTTACAACTACTCCTAGCCCCAACACCAGAGGACCTCTTCTGTACAGGAAACGAATACAGGGCATGCAATCGTTCAAGCACCTTCTTACAAGTTGTCTCTAGAGCTGTTTATGCTTTTCTAACCGCCTCTGGCATGTATTTTCCATCTTTACTACACCCTACTTGCAGCTTCGAGTGCTGCAGTGTTGACACCAACGGGCGATGCTATCAAGACTTCTGATGCTGCGGAGCTGCTCCGAGGCTTCAATGACCAGGCTACCGCGGGGCTGGAGAGGGTCGAAGGAAGCTCAAAGCGTTCCGTCGAGGGCTGCTCCCTTTACAATGTCAATATACGCAAGGACTAGTCAGTGATTTCTCTTTCTTGCACCACATAGCAAGCCCTGTCACAACGTTCGAGGGTATCATCCTCCATCAGTTACCAATTCGAGACTGACCACATATGAAGGGATGATCTGTGTCCCAGCGAGCAGAAAGCATATATCAGGGCAGTTCAACGTCTTCTGACTAGACCGTCCAAGGTCGATTCTTCGGCTGTTCCTGGTGCTCGCACTCGATATGATGACTTTGTAGCCATCCACATTAACCAGACATTGAGCATTCATGGGACCGTACGTGCTCCTCCTTAGGTTTGACCGAACTATACTGGTACTCATCGTCGCTAGGGTAATATTGTGACGTGGCACCGGTATTTTCTGCATTCGTACGAGACGGCTCTGCGCGACGAGTGTGGGTACGAGGGATACCAACCGGTAGTTGATTTCCTCCCTATTCCCTCCTTGCCCATCGAGACAACCGCTAACCAGATCATAGTACTGGAGATGGTTCAAGTATCGAGATAATCCGACCGAAAACACTCTAGTTGACGGCAGCGAATACAGCATTGGCGGTGACGGTGAATTTTGGGAACACAATGGCAGCACGGCCGGTATAGGCTCTGTCAAAATCCCTCCAGGTAACGGCGGCGGCTGCGTCACGAACGGCCCTCTCGCCAAGTGAGATCGATATTCCTACCTGTAGGTACCCATCAAACCACTACAGCACTGCTAACATGTTTCTAGCATGACCATCAACATCGGACCCGTCCGACCTGGCATGAGCGGCGTCAAGGCAAATCCTGAAGGCCAATTTGCTTACAACCCCCGTTGCTTGAGACGCGACCTGAGCTCCTACACGCTCATCAAGTGGATGACCGCCACGGATCTCATCAACATCACTGTAGGCGACGCCAGCCATACCATTCTCTCGTTCCAGACTGAACTCTAGGGCCGGTTTTCGGATGGCTTTTTGGGGATGCACGCTGCCGGTTATGCTGCTGTCGGTGGCGAGGCGACTGACCCGTTCTCGTCGCCAAATGACCCCTCCTTCTTCCTGCACCATGCCATGGTAGATTGTTTGTACTGGATCTTGCAGGTGCTACATACGTTGCAGGCTGACCAAGTTGCGGGCACCATTACGATCCTGGACAATCCACCCAGCCGGAACGCAGTCAAGGAAGACACCATCTCCATGGGCGTGCTAGCGAAAGACGTTACTATTGGACATCTCATCAACACCCTCATTGGAAGGCCGTTGTGTTATGTGTATGTGTGATGACCTGCCTATACATTTAGCACCAGCACTGGATGGTATTCGTCAGGGTAAGACATCTGTTCCAGATGAGGTCTTTTTCATGTCTTGAGCCGAATCTTGACAGTGAAGGCCAGCATCCAAGCTCCGAAGCCGTTTTTGTTCCTTGTTCCTGATCTTCGGTCACTCGGCAGATTATTGGCAGTCAATCTTACTGTTTATGCCCATCGAGACTGTTTCAAAATCAATGCCACTGTGCAGCGTGGTATTTGGAGCCATGTCGACCTGTACCTGGTTGGTGCCGAGAGGAGAAGGGAGGGCAGGGAACGTTGTATGGAGTTGGATTACTTGTATGTGAACTACCCAGGGATCGTATCAATTCACTGACTTTGGCATGTGATTCCGGCCACCGATGAACACGTATGAGGCGTCTGCATCAGTCTTATACCATTTCTTGCTCTGCATTACTTCCTATGTCGAAGGGTCCGGCAGTCCGGCAAAATGTCTCAGCTTCTCCTATATCGCACCATTCCTCATTTACCATCCCTCAGACCCTTTCAATAAGCACCCTCGTGTCTCACTACGGGCCGCACGGGCGCAGGTACCGAGTTGGACTGCCGAAGCTTGTTTTCCCTAGTTGCCTGTTGTCTCTCCTATCAATGGGCAACGTCGACCAAGCATTGTCAGGAAAGAGATGAACTTCCATGGACGCGAGACAATTGTCTCGCGTGTTGATAGGGGACAGCATATCCTGCCAACGTTGTTGACAGGGCTTGGCGCGCAGGGCTAGGTATATCGCCGACTGAGCTCCGTTCCAACTGACTTGTATTGCGTCAGCCTCTCATCAATTCGGCGGCTGGAGTGATGATCCCGAGACCAGCCATCGTAATCGCAATGGGCGAGATGGGATGGCGAGCTCGGACGACTCTAAAACATCAACATTCCCACAGGATCGGGGTATGCCAAGGTTGTGAAAGGTTCTCTTCGAAGCTCAGCATGCGTGCTGAGGCGAACCGAGCCCTCAAGATGTCTTGATGCCCAGGGCCTGTCTTCTGGTCCCTGTACTCCTTCGTGGTGGCCGTGGACTTCCAACATCCCATTAACCAAAGCCATCTGCATGTCAACATTGCCAGCGAAGCCGTCGCTCACAGTGGGGTGATCGGTGAACCACCTCTTGCCAGACCAGGGAACCTCACCAAAGACTTGCGCTACCGAAATGGACTTCCACCAAGATGACCTCTCGCATGGTCATGCGAACGAAACAGCAGCAGCGCCATTATCAACCGAAAGTCAGATCTGCGGCGAGGCCCATGTCGATATACATCATGAAGCCATACGCTACATCGCCATGGTTATCCTACTCGTAGGGTCTCTTCTCGGCGCGCTGATACCTTTGCTCCTCGCACGACGACCACGCACGATTGTCCTCACATGGATTTTTTTCGTCTTCAGCTTTACGGGTACCGGAGTCATCATCTCCACGGCATGGCTACATCTTCTCTCTCCCGCCATTCAGGCGTTAAGAGACGAATGTCTGGCCCCTCGTCTTGGTGAATACGACTGGCCCATGTTCATCGGTCTCATGACAGTCGTATTTCTAGTCTTCATCGAAACGATCGCATCGAGCTTCGACTCAGGCTCTCTTCCCTGCAGTTCGGGGCGGAATGTGCTCTCGAAATCCATATCTAGTAGCGACATGGAAAGCGTCAATGAACAGCAAGACGTCGTAGTCAGCCATACCAACAGAAGATCAGGGTTGAGCGACGTTCGACTCTCGCAGATATTCCAAATGGATCCCAGCCATGGGAGATTCCATCCGACAAGCGACCTGGATACGTCGCGTAGCCAGGGCAGTAGTCACGACACGAACCTCAATATGCGAGGTCAGCTCACAGCCCTACTCGTGCTCGAGTTCGAATTCACGTTCCACAGCGTCTTCATCAGCCTCATCCTCTCGACCACGAACAATCTCATCACGCTGACGGTCATCTTCGCTTGCCACCAATTCTTCCAAGGGCTCGACCTAGGGTCTCGACTCGCGATCGCGCAATGGCCACCGCATGGACGTTGGTGGCCGTATCTACTCGCTGTCATTTTCGGCATATCGTCGCCGCTAGCGGTGGCTGTCGGGCTCATGGCCAAGCCAGAGAGCCCGGAGATCCAACTCATCATGACGGGCGTTTTCGGAGCCATCAGTGGGGGGATCCTATTATACACAGGGATGGTGGAGCTGTTGGGGCGGGAGTTTCTGTTGCACTCGGGTATGAGTCGGGAGCCGTTGAGCGTGAAGTTGTTTGCGTTCGTGTGTGTGGGCTTGGGAGTCGCCGCCATGGCTGTCTTGGCCATTTGGGCTTGAGGGGGTGTGAGGGATGTCGGCCGCCAGATATAGGGCCCACGCGCTATCTCGGGGCGCATTGCGCCGACCCCTGGGCGGTGGCAGCTTTGATCTTGAAGCTCTCCTCTACACTAGGTACCTACCTTGAGGTTCCTCTCCTCAGCATTCTCTCCTGCATCGCATGCTGCGATAATCTCGGATGGCGCCATACCATACCAAGCTCATTATCAACTACTACTAATTGTTGGCTCCGCCCCGACCGCCGGGGTTGGTTCCGTTGTCGGAGGCCCTATGGCGATCAAGGTCGAATGCCCTGAAGGCTGGGCATGGCTGTCGTGATCGATTGACATGATGACATGCTGGGAGGACTCCAGTATCAAGTCATAGTCACATCTTTAAAACGAGTCCTTCTCGATGTCGCAAGACGAGGAAGCAAGTAGTTGAAGCGGGTATTCAACCTTCCTTGCGTACCTAGGATCAAGACAACCTGCTTCACTTGTGAAATCTCAAGCATCTCAGTCAAGTCTCTGGTGGCCCGAGACGCCCGTCACGATGAGATCGAATACCATCATAAGCGCATTGCTTACAGCCTTTGAATTGGCACAAGCTCAAGCCGCTCCACGCAGCTGTTTGCGCAATCCTGTTACCCTCGAGGGCTATGGCACTTTTGGTGGAACAACTATCAGCTTGAGTTATAGCGCTCAAAAACTTCCGGTCACCGTGGACGCATGGCTGGGCATCGATTTCGCTACGCAGCCCGTCGGTGCAGCGCGCTTCAGTCCCGCAACCTGGCCCGAGCCTTTCGAAGGAGTCAAGCTCGCGACGAGATACGGCAAGGCCTGTATTCAACAAGCGACCGCCTCCCTACCCATTGAGATCCAGGACGAAGCGTGCCTCAATTTCAACGTTTACCGGACTCCCGGTGTACCCCTCGACCAAAAGCTGCCTGTACTGGTTTGGATCCACGGGGGCGCGTTCGTTATTGGCAGCTACAAGAGTTTTGATGGTGCTGCATTTGCGGCCTCGTCCAAAGAGCCTATTGTTGTGGTGTCGTTTCACTATCGCCTCAACTCTCTCGGATTTCTCCCCTCGCAACTCTTCCATGACGAGGGTCTCTCGAACCTCGGCATCAGAGACCAGCGCCTACTACTGGAGTTTGTGCAAAAACACATTGGGGCCTTTGGCGGTGACGCAGAAGCCGTGACCCTTGGTGGACGCTCTGCTGGTGCCCACTCGGTAGGTATCCACTACTTCCATAACTATGGCGATGACGAAGGCAGCAAACCGCTGTTCGCTCGTGCCATCCATCAGTCCGGCTCCGTGACTTCAAGGGCCTTCCCCAACGTGACCTACCCTCTCTACCAGCAACAGTATGCGGAGTACACGTCTTTTCTTGGCTGCGACACTGCTGAGGATGATTCTTCCGCCTTGGCGTGTCTCCGAGCGGCGGACATTGACGATATTCGTAACGTCAGCACCAGCATCTTCCTCAAGTACAACGCTGCCGTGACTTGGCCCTGGCAGCCTGTGCAAGGCGGTCCGTTATTCGAGAAACCGGGCTCTCAGTCAGGACACGACGGCACCTTCTTCCACGTGCCGACTATCACGTCCACCGTGACCGACGAGGGCAAAGCTTACTTACCTGGGAACCTCGAGACGAACGACGAGTTCCTTGGGTACCTACACAACGGCTCGCCAGCCCTAAATGAGAACGACCTGAACCTCCTCGAGGTCCTTTACCCCGACCCCGCTACTATCGAGGATTCCCCCTTCGCCAACTCTCCGAATAGCACACAGTACGACCGCCTGGCGGCCGCCTGGAGCGACTACGCTTACCTCTGTCCGAGTCAAGAGACCGCCTACAGAGTCGCGTCCGCAGGGGTGTCTGTCTGGAAGGTGCGCTTCAACACGAACAACAGGTTCCCAGCATGGCAGGGCATCCCACACACGGCCGACACACGCTACACATGGGATGAAAAGACAACACAATATCCTGAGATAAGTCACGTCTACCACGCATATCTAGCAAGTTTTGTCACGGCAGGCGATCCGAACGTGCACCGGTTCAAAGATAGCCCTGAGTGGCCGACGTACAAGCCCAACGGCTATGGCCTGGAGGTTGCACCAGCGAAGCAGCTGGTGGTGCAGCCAGTCGAGGGTGGTGCACAGGTTGAGGACGACGACATCCGCAGGGAAGCTTGCTTGTTCTGGAGAGACCCCGAGAGGGCGGGCAGGCTGAACAAGTGATGATCACAAGATCAGAACGATGGCTCGAGGTAGAGAGATACCACCAGGGGATTGACAATGGAGTAAAATGGCAACAACCACCCGCCGCTGCAGATGTGGATCATCGGTAGTTGCCAAAACGATGCGCATGAGTATAATGAGTTGGCGTGTGATCTCGTCGAGGACGTATGACATTGCATAAACTGTAGGTAGAGACCTGGTAGGTAGCTTGGTAGGTACCTTAGAGAATGCAAATGTATTCGACCAAAGCAACGACAGCTTTTGGCCGCGAACATGATTACGTCACCGATCAGGTCACAGACAAAGATTTACTGTACATAAGGTACATGTAGCCCTCCCCGCAGTGTACACCAACCAGCAAGTGGCTCCCAGACGGACGACACTAAGCCCTGATGACAAAGCCCCACTACAGACGCGCGTGAGGCACCTCACGATTTCGCGACTTGGCACTATCGCGTCTGAGTCCCTTACCTTGATGATTTGTCTTTGGCCTCATCTCCACCTACCTCTGGGGTTGAAATGCTATTTTCTGCCCAACAGCGTCACCAGCGGACTTGACTCATCATGATCACCACTCCACCCTAAACACCCCAGAACACCAGCTGATGTCGATGCTGTCGGGCGGCTCGAAAACCTGACAACTCACGCTGCAAATGTACCCATCATTCTTGGCCGTTGCGACCGCTGGCCTGCTATCCTTGAACTCACTGGGAGCGGCTCGAAAAAATCTCATCCTCGACACGGACATCTTCAGTGACTGCGAGTAGGTGGAATCGTTCTTGGGCGTCATTGAGACGGACAGCTGACATGCCCAGCGACGCTGCTGCATTGCTCCTGGCAGCGACCTCGCCAGACGTAAGACTATTGGCTGTCAACGTCAATTCGCCTTCATCTTACTCTGCCATCGCCACTTCTGCAATACTGGCGCACTATGGTCATGCAAACATCCCCATAGGGGCCCGGCGACCTCAGACAAACGACACGTTTTTCGACTCCTGGGGGTTCGAATTCGGCGAATTTGCCAGCAAGATTGCTTACCATTGGTCTGGTGGCTCTCTCCCTTGGGGTCAGGCTTGCCTCGCTTGGGACCCTGTTGACCTTTATCGCAAGACCCTTGCGGCTTCAGAGGATGGAAGCGTGACCGTTGTGTCTCTCGGATTCTTCGCCAACCTCGCTGCTCTGCTTGACTCGCCTGCCGACGGGTACTCTGACCTCACAGGGCCGGAGTTGCTTTCCGCCAAAGTGTCAGAACTGGTCATCATGGGAGGGGTATATCCGAGCGGGCGCGAATTCAACTTCTGGGGCGACGATCCATCGGCTACGGCGCATGTCGTCAACGACTTTACGGGCCGCATGGTCTTTTCTGGCTTCGAGCTCGGCCAGAACGTTACGTCGGGCTTGCGTCTCATAGCTGACGGCCCTGTCGGCGATCCGGTAAGAGCCGCCTACATTTACTACACTTACGGTCAACCACGCCAGTCATGGGATCCTATTTCTGTCCTCTATGCCATTCGAGGCCTGGGTGACATGTTCGAATACGGCAACGATAATGGTTATAACCATGTGCACGCCGACGGTTCGAATACGTGGGTTCATGATGATCGCATACGGAATCAACATTGGCTGAAACTCAAGGCGAATAACGAGACGGTCAGCGACGAGCTAGACCGACTTTACCTGGAGGCTGCATGGGTCGCGGCCAGTCCGGAAGCAAAGGCTGACCTTCTATGGGTGCCACACCTGCATCGTCATCCGAAAGCCGAGTTGTGAGAGCTTCCTCGAGCGCCTGAGCAGTGATTTTTCTCTGGTTGTTGCGTTGCAAGCCGGCAGCTGCTTTCGCCGGCTGTCCCTGGCCGCGTAGCGATGATCCAGCACACAATGGGATCGGGCGACCGACGTGTATGCCATACGCATTTCAAGCAATACCTACAGCCGGTACAGCCGCTCTCGGTACACGGAGGTTGACACGACCCGAGCCCAAGAGGTGCCCGAGTTGGCAGCCTAATCGACGGCACTTCTAGGAGCGGCTGCTCTGGAAGGTTCAGCATTTGAGGTACCATTCGCCAAGACGCGCGAATCAACATAAATCCTCGTCTACTGGTGTTTTGATTCATTCGGCTTGCCTCGACACGGAGCCACCCATTTGCGGTGATTCATACCACTTCTCACGACGCCTGGCTGCAGGGGTGATGGCCTTACAGTCAATGGTTCACATCGAGATGTTCATGCGCAAGCGCGTGAATTAGAGACGATAGTGGGCTGTAGGGTAAGGGGAATGCAGCTCAGGTAACCCTAGAGCGTAGGCTGTAGATCAAAAGATCCTCTTGGCTTGGTGCCCAGCAGTGATGGACTCGCAAGCTGTGGCATCCGCACAACTATCAAGGCGGTGCGCTCACTACCACGCAAGGTAGTGACAACGGCCATTGCCGCTTCACCCGCCTGCGAGGCAGCGCTTTTTGAAACCCATCGACTGCCTATGTGGCTACCGAGAAAGCTGACCCCTTGCTCTCTGTCTTGGTATGTGCTTAGAATGACGGGTCGAGAAACTGTCCTATGCCGAACAGTCACAGACAACCCTCCCTATACACGACGAGAGGGTGGATTGCCCTGGGTATGGTGGCCTGGATGGTGGCGCCGCTGAGTATGTATATCCAGCCTTGTCACCCTTATACGGGACACACCCGTACGAGGCTATGGAGGCTATGCGACGCCCAGTTTCGGTCATGCTTGGCTCACACTCATGCCTAGCGGTGGTGCCAATCGTCATGTCTGATCCTTGCAGGCTGTGGAACACAACGCCCGTCTAGAGAGCAATTGTTTGGTCACACGCCCGCCTCGGACCCACGATAAACATGGCGACACTTGTCTTCTGACAGGCTCGCCCTTTTCGCGCGTGGCCAGTCATGCTCCCCACTAAGGTCAATCTGTAGGGCCGCTTCTGCCATTCGATGTAACTCGCTTGCCAGTACATCGAAGTGGCCCTGTAGCGATTCTCATGATATGCTTGGCTGGTGATGAGCAGGTCTGTGTGCAGACAAGTCATGACTTCGAGAGTCCTTGCTGGAAAGTCGGCCCAATCCCTACCTATGTACCTACCTTAGTATTTATTATTAAGGTGGGTAGGTAGCCTGGCTTGCCTGGTCATCGGGTAGAGTGAGTGCATGGATACACTCAGCTGAAGATTCGGGCGGAGTCGATGTGACCTGCAACGTCTGTGATTCGAGGGAACTGATGCAGAACGTCGGCATTCAATGAACGCCGTGAGCTGAGGCACGGGTCAAAATCCCCTATCTGCCGTTCTTACCACCCCAGCGTCATGGACTGCAGCCTGTCCATGCGAGTTGCAAAGTGCTGCAGAACTTCTGCCGATCGACATCCGAGAGGGGCGGCAAGCCACGACTAGTTAAAACCCGCTTATGATCTTCCCCGTCACTCGATGTATCGCTGCCCTCAGCTTGTGCATGGGCAGATCCATGCCTACACCGAGACTATGACTCCCAATCAGCGATTTCAATCCTATAGTATTTGCCATGCTCCGAGCAGTGTGCCACACCACAATGCCGGGAGGCCGTTAGTCGGCGCCCAGCCCCGCTCCCAGGACTTGGAGGTCGCCCGACAGAGGACGCAGAGTTTCGGTGAGCGTCAGACGGATTCCTGGGCAAGGCAAGGTAGCCAGTTGCCTCGTTGTCAACGAATCATACTTGTCACGTGATGCCACACTTTCTTGCCTGTTCTCTTCAAGATGTGGCATTGTGTGGCCCAGTTCTACACCATGTTCGCCCCGGACGCCTTCTTGGCCCCGACAGTCCTTCAAGTGGCCGACACCAATGGCGGAGGAAAGGGGGAGGAGGTTCGCTGCCCCCTTTCCGCAGCTCCCTTCCTCGTTCGCTGGCGCCATCTTGAGATTTTATTCTCGGTCCTACCACGCCGGTTGAACCTCACTCGTGGGTTCAAATCGGCGGTGAGCTAGAGAGCATATGCGAGACAGCGCCCCTGAAAGCCACTGTTGGGAATTCAAAGTGGTGTCATTCGAGCCTGACGGCAGGATCCGATACCAGTCGAAGGTGGATTTTGCATCTCGAATCAGGTATGTCTTTGTATCCCGTGTATCCCACGGGGCAATGGTGGGCGTGGACGTGGCATTTCTAGGCCGCGACCCGTACTAACAGACGGCATGTTTTCAGAAGGCGGTATCTCCTCTCTGTGCCCTTTCAAAGTGATTCACTTGCCGTTCTCTTCCTTATTCAAAAGCAAGCAAAGGTGAAGATACACTTCAAATGACATTTTATTCTTGAGGACTCTAGAACGCTACCTCCTCACGAAAGTGAAGCTTTCTCTCCTCACACTTGTTCCGCCTTTCTGGCACTCAGTCTCTCGAAAGTGTGTCTCTGTTCTCGGCGTTGTATTCAATATCGACTAACAGCCAATCCTGCCTTACAACCCGTTCGGTCAGCCTAGAGTTGACTCGAGCCTCACAGACGGCGCTCATTCGCGCACACGCCATCGTCTGAAAGCAACCTCCAACCTCTGGGGCCCCGGTGATGGCTGACCCACGGAGTAATCAAGCCTTTGGCTCATCTCCCAAGCATTCGGTCCATCCCCGTTTCGTAGGCGTACAGCCACTTCAGGGTGTTCAAACTGCCCCAGCCGTCGCTCGCCCGCACGGCGTCGCCAGAATGCAAAAGGTGCAAGGACCGCCGCACCAGATTGCTCTCCCTCCGCCGTATGACAAGATCCCCCCGGCTTTCCAAACCAATGTCGCGATCTCCGATATTCGCGATGACAGTCAAAAAGAGGCTGAGTATCGCGAAAATTTCGCCGACTATGTGGTTTTCCGCTTCGAGAAACTCAATGATCCGGGAGACGTTGATGAGGGAGGTAACCGTAGAAAGCCCAACTGGGAAAAGGCAACTAGGATCAAAGTTGAAATGTCAAAGGAGGCCGCTGCGGGCGAAATCTTCCGATTGAAGAATAAACACCGCCAGTTCTGGGAGAAAAAGCACGCCCTAGAGCCAGCCCAACGACTGCAACTCGACCAGACCCTGCAGCTGCTCCAGAAAGGTGAACAAGACCAGCGATTTTACTACGAGCTGGTCCAGATCAAGGAACTCGTCGACAAGCGCACCGCTGAGACCCGCCATCATTCAAAGCATTCAAGGGATTACAGAGATGGACGCAAGAGTGCCACCACAAGATCCAAGGCCACGGATTCCCAGGACAGTCGAGGAAGAGGTCCGGGAGAACAACGCAAGCGGGAGCAGCTATCCATTACTGCCTTCTATAAGCGACTTCTTCGACCCGACGTGAATGCCATCGATATGATGATGATGCAGCAGAACCCGCCAACACAGCGTCCACATGCCCACGAGGCAACGATGTTCCTGCCGCAGGGTCTTTATGCCCAGCAGCAAGCCCAAGCTCAAGCGCAACGTGGCCCGCCTGGAACACGTATACATCCGCAGGCGTTGGCTCAACCTCAGCACCAGCGCGTAGAGACACAGGCACAACGGCAGGCACCGCCGCTGGGGCCAGGGCAAGGTCAAGTGAGAGACCAGGGCCAACAACCAAATGCTCCGCCTAGGCCGCTCATGGCACAGCATGGTGGCGTGCAGCAGCAAAGTCAGCACAACGGGCCTTCTACTAAACTTTCACCTCAGACTCAGAGCCAAAATGGGCAGGCTCGGCAACCCCGGCAACAGGGTATGGCGCAGAAAAAGCCCAATAACAGCGTCAACATGCGCGATTCCAGTGGCAACCGAGCGTCCGGAACGGATCATCGATGCCGTCGAGCTGAAAAACATTCAAGGTCTCCTTCAACATCATCTTCGTTCTCGAGTAGCTCCAGTGAGGGATCCCGGTATGCCCCCATAGCATCATCTCTCTCCGGCGAGTCGCGACACACAGGTCGTGGGCGCCAAAGAAGTCGCAGCCGAGGGCGCCGAGGGCGTCGAAGCCGCACCCGAAGCCAAAGCCTAGAACGTAAGCGAAATTCTCATCAACGTCGTGAAACTCCAGAGACTTATGGTATTGGGGCGTCTCGGAGCCATCATCGCCAAGAACGACAATACCTGTCAGACCCAATGGCGCAGGATGTAGCTTCAATCTCTCTTTCGACACAGCCGCCGAACCCTGGGCCATCGCAAGCGGCAATACGATTGGCGACCAACGAAGCTTATCGTGCAGGCATGGCCAGGGGTTGGGCCTCTACGCAAATACTAGAAGGACATGCCGTGGACGGCGTTGGTTATGCGCATCGGGTGATCGGTGCATCTGGAAGACGACCAGCTTTCATTCGATCAGGCGTACGCGTAGTCGAGCCTAGAGATATCACGCGACGTCGAACGATGGAAGAAGAGCTCGATCGATTAAATCATTTGCGGATCGAAAATGATATGAGGCTCGACGGCGGCCTTGAGTTTGCGAATGGGCCTCAGTTCAACGAGAGAGTGCAATACGATAGGAGGCAATACTTTGATGGGGAGGCGGCTTTCGTGAGAGATGTGGAACGTGATGAACTGAGGCGGCAGATGACGCTAGAACAGCAACTCTGGCCCCAGCAAGAGGTGGATTATGATATTGTGGCCCCGGTGGTGGAGGGGGGGAGGATGCGACAGGGCCGTGTGCCTCCGGAGTACATGGTGTACAGATCAAGATCCCCTAGCGACGCATATTTTGAGAATCCATTTTGGCCGATGAAGAGCGTCGGGGCGAATACCTCGAGGCCCATGGAGGCGCGGGGGGCATTCTCCTATGGCAACGCGGCCTATGACGGTCGCACTTCTATAGTCGGTTGCCGGAGCAGTCATTAATACAGGAAGTTACGATGCCCATGGCAGTCAAGCGGCACAACATGATGGCGTTTGGACTGGGATGATCTTCTGTACAATTGGCCGGGGCCTCAACGCCCATTGCACGCCCACATGCGACGTAAGCGTCAGGGCTGACCTTCTGAGCAAGAGCTTGACATGACGGGCGCTGGCGGAGCGCAATCCTTGTGGCGCCCCTTCTTGCGGGACTGTGCACCCCGTGGACTGGTTGACTGGCAAGGCTGGGAAGAGCTGGCCATCTCGTAAGGTAAGGAAGGCAATCTACGAACAAGCAAAACCTGCTGAACGCCACTTTCGTCGCATCCAAAGACGGAACAGTATGTCCTAGACCCTCTTCGCATCACCAACTTGACGCTTCTGCCGTGAACACGGACACCTGGCGCATCGATGAACCACTAACGATCCGTTTGCCGATCCCCCACTGCACGCCCATAGCTCGGAGGGCCAATAGAAAACACGCTACAAAGGTGACCGCCGATGGCGCCATCACTACTGGTGTCGACGTTCCACCAGAGACCACACCTTCATGGAACCTCGCAACATGTGTAGGAAGCGTCCGCACCTTGTTGTGTACATTGAGGGGGGTGGGTTCGTAGTATTTATGGCCGTCGGCGGCCCGCCGGCAACATAGGTCGCCATGTGCCGCTTGAAGAATATTCAAAGACGAAGAGAGGTACACACTGCTCTCTCTCTCTCAACCTTGCCGCCCGTCCATGCGCCACTGCGAACCTTGCGTTTGCCGGTCTTCACGAAACTTACGCCGCATTCAATTGCGAGGGTTGCTAAATCATGAGCGCATACACCAGCCCTGAGTCGAAGGGTACTTCGCCCACGCAAGAAGATCGCTTCGGACATCATGGTGAGAGCCTAGCTGACACAGCAGCCGACGACTCGGCCATTTATCCCAAGGGCACCTTAGATCCAGTATACGAAGCCAAGGCGCGCGTTCTCAACCGAGCTGTATGTTACTCCACGCATTTTGCCCGTGTTTTGATTCACGAAGGAAGTGTCTGACAGTAATCAGATTCTAGACATTGGGATGGGATGGTATCAATGGCAGCTTTTTATTGTCGTTGGTTTCGGTTGGGCTGCCGACAACCTCTGGCCCATTGTGACATCACTTATCTTCACACCCATCACCAACGAGTTCGGACCCTCCCGGCCACCTCTCCTTACCCTCGCCCAGAACATTGGCCTGCTTGCCGGTGCCATGTTCTGGGGGTTTGGGTGCGATATCTTTGGCCGGCGTCATGCCTTCAACTGCACCCTGGGCCTGACAGCCTTCTGGGGCCTTGTTGCCGGCGGTGCCAATAATTTTGCCGCCATCGGCAGTTTCGCAGCGCTTTGGTCGTTCGGTGTTGGCGGAAACTTACCTGTCGACTCAGCCATCTTTCTTGAATTTCTGCCTGGCACCCACCAGTATCTCTTGACCATTCTCTCTATCGATTGGGCTATTGCTCAAGTTGTTGCGAATCTCGTCGCCTGGCCGTTGTTGGGAAATCTGACATGCCAACAAGATACTGTTTGTCGTAAGAGAGACAACATGGGGTGGCGATGGTTTACCATCACCATGGGCGGGATCACAGCTGTCATGTTCCTGGTTCGTTTTGCCGCCTTCAAGATTTTTGAGTCGCCAAAGTACCTCATGGGCAAAGGACGTGATGAGGATGCCGTCCGTATCGTTCACGAAGTCGCGCGGCGCAACAACAAGACAACGTCTCTAACACTGGCCGATCTGAAGGCTTGTGAACCCGAGGGTTATGTTGCTCAGACCAATGTCTCTGCTGCGGCCAAGAGATATGCTGCAAAGCTCAACTTTAGCCACATTCGTGTTCTCTTCTCGACACGCAAGCTAGGGCTCAGTACTGGCCTCATCATGGCCGTCTGGGCGCTCATTGGCCTTGGCTACCCGCTGTACAACGCCTTCCTGCCCTTCATCCAGGCCACGCGGGGCGCCGATTTTGGTGACGGCAGTACCTACATCACCTACCGCAACAGCTTGATCATATCATCTCTCGGCGTTCCTGGCGCATTGCTCGGAGGCTGGCTTGTGGAGCGAAAGGTCATTGGTCGCAAGGGCACTCTGTCCTTGTTCACCGTGTTGACAGGCGTCTTTTTGTACTGCTCGACGACGGCGGTAACGAGCAATGCACTCCTGGGCTGGAATTGCGCATTCAACTTCTGCAGTAACGTCATGTATGCTGTGCTCTACGGATTCACACCAGAGCTTTTCCCTACACCCCAACGCGGCACGGGCAATGCTTTGACGGCAACTTGCAATCGCATTTTCGGCATCATGGCTGTAAGTGGGTGTTGTCGTACGCGTGGGTCATCACTGACACGGAATAGCCTATCATCGCCATGTTCGCCAACCTTGAGACGTCGGCTCCCGTGTACACAAGTGGTGCTCTGTTCATCGCTGCCGGTCTTCTTGTACTGCTGATGCCGTTTGAGTCACGGGGAAGGGCGGCATTATAGAGAATGCCTTTGTTCTCGGAGGCTTCCGCAAAATGCCGTCATTCCGTGATAGCTTTCCTTATTGCCTTGGCCTTGATTACACACTTTGCTTCTTGTCTCTTGGCCCCGACTTGGGAAGGGCCCACGCAGACTGGTTGAGAAGGCAGGGGAAAGTGCCCACGCAGCAAGCAGGGTGACGTTTGCCCTTCATTTTCACGAACAGTCGCTTCGCCCTACCCCTGCAAAGATATGATCGCGAGATTATCTCGATGACGGTTTTCCCGCTCAGAAGTGACCTGCCTAGCTGGGATCAAGAACCGTGGAGACGGGGAGAGCGCGATGGAGATGATGCGTCTGGACAAGATAAGGCCCTCGGATGGCCCTTAACATTAGGTACGTTGGATGTCGGCGGTACCATCGGAGCCCGTGCTTTCTTGGCAACCGGCTAGTGGCTTTCTTCAACAAAACCAGTTTCCCGACTGCTGTGCATTCGTGGGAGACAAGAAACAAGAAGAGCGATCTCGGGATACCGAATACCTAGAACCACTCTGGACGGCTCGCTGCTGGCACTCATGAGTGCCGACCTAGGTACCAAAGTAGGTAGGTACCGTAGGTAGGTAAAGACCCCAAGGCACGCTGAGGTCACAGCGCCCCACACTATCCCCCGCTTTCCCCTCAGCTGCTGCTGCTGAGCTGCCTCATTCAGTTTCGTTGCCAATGCTGTGCTACGCCTTCAATCGTAAAGTGACTGATGATCCCACCCTCCCAGTGTCCAACTCTCGCATAGATCGCTGCCCTTGACGATCAAGCTGCCCACTTCGTGTATTAGAAAGATGTCGTTGCATAATGGATCTTTCTTTTCGGCCCTAAAGAGGCCAAGGCGGCTCCCGAGGTCGTCGCCGACAATACATTATCGATCAGTCATATAAGCCATGGTGCCCGGTTCTGGTGATTCGCCCAGTCGACGGCGAGCCTCAGTGATAGACAGGTAAGGCTCAAGTGGATTTGAGCCGTCTGTTCAGAAGCCGAATCTCGTCATGCGGACTTCCACCCTTGCTGGCCTGTTCGGGCTCCTCTCCTTCGCCGATGCTGCCAAGTATGGTTACAATCATGTTGCTGTTCGCCAGGACTCCGATATCGTTGCCGCAAACTTCAAAGATGTCGACATTTCTCTCCACTCGCCCGCGTTCCTCAACCCCGGGAGTCGTCTCGAAGGGTTCTCACGGGGTACTGAGGGCCCAACTTCCCACGAGGCCATGGGTAAGAAGCCCTTGTCAGATCACGATATCAGTGAAGACGAACTGACAGTACCTCAGAGGTCTTCTTGGAAGAGATCGCAAGCCGTAACAGCTACATGACGTACAACACAGCCAACTTCACCTCCGAAGAGCTGCGCTCGTTCCCCTACGTTCACCTCGCCAGCGCAGGCAACTCTACCTGCCGCCGTCGCAGTGCTGCTGAGAAGGTTCGCATTTGGGTTCAGGGCGCAGCCCATGGGAATGAACCAGCTGGAGATGAGGCTCTCCTTGCTCTCCTTGGCAAATTCGATAATGACCCCGAATGGGCCGCAGACATACTCGAGAAGGTCGATATCGTCATCCTCCCACGATACAACCCTGACGGAGTCTATTATTTCCAACGCGCCCTCGCAACAAATTTTGATCCTAACCGTGACCATATCAAACAAAACCGTCAGCAGACGCGCAATATAAAAGCCTTGCTGGCCGAATACAACCCACACGTCATCATCGATATGCACGAGTATGGAGCTACCACTCAGTACGGCCGGTATTATCACGGATCTGACGGCCTTTTCTCCGCCGCTAAAAATCTCAACATCAACGAGAGCATTCGCTCTTTATCCGAGGAAGTCTTCGCCAAGAACATCGGCAATGATATGGAGGACGCTGGTCTACGGTGGGAGCCCTATGTCACTGGGCCTTCAAGCCTTGATCTCGACTTTGCGATCAGCTTCACCGAGGCTGGTACTGATGCCAAGATTGGACGCAACGCTATGGGCCTTACCCAGTCTGTGACGTTCCTCATCGAGATGCGCGGCATATTCCTCGCCGACCAGGAATTCCAACGTCGTACAGCTGCCGGCCTCACCATGGCAGGCAGCATCATTCAGACGGCAGCTGACAATGCCGACAAAGTCTATGAGACGGTCGAGGGTGGTCGTGCGGCCTTCATCTCTGGCTCGGACGATATCATTCTCACCGACAGCACCACTACCGAGAATCGTGAATTCACCATGGTCGACCACACCACTGGCGAGATCGTTCAGGTGCCCATCAAATTCATCTCCAACACTCCGGCGCGTGCCAATCTCACTCGCTCTCGTCCCGAAGCCTACCTCATACCGGTTGCATGGGCGGACCTTGCTGCTCGCCTCGTTGATGCAGGCCTAGAAGTGGAGACACTTTCCGAGCCGTGGAGCGGAACCGTCGAGGCGTTGCGGATCGAATCTTCGCAATTCGAATCCAGTTACTATGAGGGTGCCGTCCGTGCCACCGTCACGACTAGCACAAGTGAGAGAGAGTTGACGCTGCCAGCCGGCAGCTTCCGTGTCAGCACTCGGCAGAAGAACGCTGCTCTTGCTTTTGTTGCGTTGGAGCCAGAGAACATCGACTCCTACGTCAGCTTCAATGTTGTGCCGGTTGAAAGGGGGGATGAGTACCCCATATTCAGGGTTGTGTCATGAGTGGTGGCTTGTATAGAGTACATATCTTACATCTAGACATGAAAATTTGATGGCAATAGTAGTCACACACCATCGTATATTCTGTTGTCAGCCCCTGTGAACCCGGTCACAGGGACCGCTGCCTCTCGTAGAGCACTTACGAACACACCGTGCCCGCCTCTGAAGAGAAGCCAGAGCTGCGAGGCGAACTGAAATGGGACTCTATTGCTGGTACTCTCCTTGCGCCATCTGATCGGGGCTGTGGCCGTGGTCACGGTCGGCCTGATGGGCGTTGTAGTCAACTAAAGCGTGAAAGCAACGAATTCTATGGGTCAAAGTCTCTAATACCACCAAATTCGATCTAGGAGAGTAACGTATATGTTTGAGTGTGAAAGGCCTCGTTCAAAGGCGTGTGACGCTTGATCTTGTGGTTATGATCCGGGTCGACGCTCTCTGTAGGTAAGGTACCTAATGTAAGATACCCGGCTTAAGTAAGGTACCTAGGCCTCGGAACGTGTGGCGGGCAGTTGGGGCGGGCTGCTTAGTAAACCAAGGTGCACATATGTCTCCTTGATCTGCCGTAGGTACCTACCGACTGAGCGAGTTCCTTTCGCCGCCTGTCCAGCCGGGCCACCAGAATACCAAGCGCGTGACAAAATAAAACGGCCCAGCTAAAAGTCTCTCAACAAAGGATACAGGATATCTAAGCCCTAAGACACCAAATTCTAAGGCCTACGATATGCCTGTATTGCTGGTTAGTAGGTCGGGGAGGGGCTTTTGCGTGGGACGTTGTGTTTGTCATACCTGAGGTACCTAGGTACTACTGTACAGTGTCTGCTTGAGTACAACATTGACCTTTATCCACTCGACGCGAGAACCCACACACAAAGACGCGACGACACGCGACTTCACTCCTCTTGGACGTCTCGAGCCAGACCGACGGCCCCAGGTCCAGCGTGGTACCTGAGTTTGTAGCACATGATTCTACCACTACTGCCGCCAGAATTTATCCTCCTCCTTTGAGCCTTCCCCTCTCCGACAGTATTTCTTACCTAGATACTGAAAACCCACTTGAATCGATCCCCTGGAACTGAACTGTGTATGACGGCTGGCACATCCAGCCTGCTGCGCGGTCGGTTCTTGCTGGCGCTGCTTGAAAGCCAACATCGCCTGAATTTTCACCTCTCAACTCATGCTCACACCTGGCGTCGCCTTCAATCAAGCTGCGCCTCAGATACCATGTTGGGAAGAGCTCACAATGCTTTCGAGGCCAAGCCGCCACAGCCTCGGATCCCCCCTTTAGCGAAACAACTTTTCCCATCGAGCAGCCCGGTTCAACATGCCAATATCCAAGACTCTTTCAAGAGGACGAGTCAGCCAAGTCACAAATCCGACACACCAGTGTCTTCAATTCCACATCAAAAAGGTGCTTCAGTGACTAGCTTGACTGCATCTCGTCCCAAAGCGCCTTCGAAAGTTCCGATGGCCTCCCTATACAACCAACCCGATTCTTTTCAAGACAGCCCAGATGATCTTGTCGAGATTGGCAGCCGAGCCAAAACAGCTGTTGCGACAGAGGTTCTCTTCTTTGAAGATGATTTTAGCGACGACACAGACCTCGACCTCGATTACCAAGAGCCTACAAAGCTACCCCTACCCCCACCGACGATCAGCCAGAAGCCTTCGAACGAAATCCATGAGACTACCATACCTTTCTCTTCACGCTCAGAGAATATTGTTCCATGGTCTTCCTCACCGCCCTCTCATATGCTGCCGTCCCATTCACTTTCGACCCGAATTGCGCTTAGTACAAGAACTAGCAAACGCTCGTCACTCGGAGAGGCGGAGTTGCCGCCTCCGAAGAAGCGGAGTTTGCCCAGGGACTGGACAGCGCAACCTCGCGATGATAGCAAGCTTGGGCTGCATGGCGAATCCACCCCAGCGCGAAAGATAAAAGATCCCATGCCCTGGAATACGACTGCCAGTGCCGTAAAGGCTCAAAAGAAGCATCACAAGGACACTCTCAAGAGGTCTGGGACAAATGAAGAATATACCATGGAGGAAGTGCGTGCTGTGACGGCAATGGATTCCGAGCGTGTCAAGGGTATTAGTCTCAGCAAAGAACAGGAACGCGTGCAGGACCTTGTTGTAAACAAAGGTCAGAGCGTCTTCTTCACCGGGCCAGCTGGTACCGGAAAGTCGGTTTTGATGCGATCAATTGTTGCGGAGCTCAGAAAGAAGTTCGCCAAGGACCCGGAACGATTGGCGGTCACCGCTTCAACTGGCCTCGCAGCTTGCAACATTGGCGGCCAGACACTCCACAGCTTTTCTGGCATAGGGCTTGGCAAGGAGGAAGTTCCTGTCCTTGTCAAAAAGATCAGGAGGAATCCCAAGGCGAAGAATCGCTGGCTGAGGACAAAGGTGTTGATCTTAGACGAGGTCTCAATGGTAGATGGAGATCTTTTCGACAAGCTGTCAGCCATTGGCAGGCAGCTTCGCAACAATGGTCGACCCTGGGGTGGCATTCAACTAGTCATCACGGGCGACTTTTTCCAGCTACCGCCTGTGCCGGATACGGGTGGTGGGAAGAGGGAATCCAAGTTCGCCTTCGATGCCGCCACCTGGAACACCTCGATCGATCATACAATCGGCCTCACACAGGTCTTCCGCCAAAAAGACCCAGGTAGGCTATGTGCTACACCCCGAAAAATAACCTAAGCTAACGCGGATGGGCAAAAGTGTTTGCAGGCATGCTTAACGAAATGCGCCTAGGCGTCATCACGGACGAAACAGTACGAGCCTTCAAGGCCCTCTCGAGACCTATTATGTCAAACGATGACCTCGACTTGGAAACAACAGAGCTCTTCCCGACAAGACAGGAAGTTGAAGGATCCAATCAGACTCGACTACGAAATCTCCCTGGTAAGGCTAAGCGGTACGACGCGCACGAAACTGGCGACCCACAGCTTCGGGAGAAACTTCTGGCGAATGTCATGGCACCAAAAAGCATTGAGCTGAAGGTGGGAGCTCAGGTGATGCTGGTCAAGAATATGGATGAGACGCTTGTCAACGGTTCACTTGGAAGGGTCCGAGGTTTCATGACCGAGTCCATGTTCGAACTAAAGAACGACACTGCCTTCGGAACAGACGACGAGGGTGCGCCTGATGCAAAGGTGCAGAACAGGATCAAGGCCTTCACCCGCGAACTCGAGGAAAGCAGGACGGGCGCCACGGAATATCCTGTTGTAGAGTTCTCCGCTTCGGACGGTACGCACAGAACCATACTCTGCATTGGTGAAGAGTACAAAGTTGAGAACGCCGCTGGTGAAGTCCAAGCCTGCCGTCGACAGATCCCGCTTATATTGGCCTGGGCGCTTTCAATACACAAGGCACAAGGGCAGACACTAGAAAGAGTTAAGGTCGACCTTGGCAAGGTATTCGAGAAGGGCCAGGCATATGTAGCTCTCAGTCGAGCCACCACGCAACAGGGTCTTCAGGTGCTGCGGTTCGAGAAGCACAAGGTAATGGCTCATCCTCGGGTCGTCAACTTTTACAACAACTTGTACAGCATCGATGAGGCGATGGCAAAGAAGCCTGCTGTTACCGTGGCCAGTATTTTCTCTGCTCCTAAAGCCAAGGAGCTTGGAAGCCGATCGACTTTTCAGACCAATATCAGGCCCACTGTCCAGAAGCCCATACCAAGGGCGGTGGGAAGTGCAAGGGCACCCATCACTCTCGGTGATGATGATGATGACGAGGATGCCATGGCTGAGGTTTATGGGCATTGACACGCTTTTCTTTTCTTTTGTCGCTTGGTATGCATAATAGTTGGCGTTACTTTGTGTTCCTGCTGGCTGTTGCATCGGGTATGTGACTAGCTAGATGGGCACAGTACAAAACTCTCACTTACTTTGTAGTCGCCAGCATTCTGGTTTGATGATGGTACACATCGGAAACGGAGGGAAGGATTGGCTTGCTATGTACTCGTTCTCCCAAGTTCAGGTATAACGGATGCGCCTGATGATGACCAATGTTGTTTATCATCAAACATCTGCAATTCACAGTGGCTGGATATTATTGAACGATGTAAACCAATGTCTCAGTGCATTGAGCGCCCTTGATGTAAATGCTATGAATGTACCATAAAAGATGATCGCTTTGGCTAGTACGCCCTGGCCAGTAATTGCATTTCTTGCTATCCCTCTTCCGTTCCCCAAGCGCTGATCATCGTCAAAGCACCATGCGATACAGCATGAAGCTTAAGCCGTGTAGGTCTGGGGCCTACGATGGTTCAATAGTCTGGTTCTTCTCCTTGGCCAGTAGCGCCTTGATACCGCATCTCCAGCACCCATTTATCGTCGAAGTCGATACCTCTTCGAAGCTTTGTTCCAGCCTTCTTCCATACAGCTGCGCCAAGGCCAATGTCAATGATGAAGAGCTTCCAGTCATCATTGTCCGCCGCGGGAGCAGACAGGCTCTTGGGATTGCCTTCTTCGCTGGGACGCAGAGGCGGGGCCATGGCTTCGAGAAGTCCGCGCTTCGGTGCGCCCATGGCGACGACGTACCGGGGCTTGACGTATAGCCGCCCTCCATCAATGATGCTCACCTTGCCAGTCGAAGGATCGATGCCCGTCGGAACGTCAACGGCGAGAGTGAACGCTTCATTACGGTTGGCCCACTCTATGAGCTCATAGACAGTGGCTTGGTCGCCGGTCCGCAGCTCCTCAAATGAGATTGCTAAACCGAGCAGCGCGTCTATAATTAGAGTAACCGTTGCTGAGGATGAGTGCGACGTTTTACGCAACTGCTCAAAGAGCTCAATCTTGTTATGAATGCGGCCGCCAAGGTTCTTGAAAATTCGGACTTGTTGGCGCATGTCTTCGAGCAGATCACGCTCTCGCTCAATGCCCACAACACAGACAAGAACACTGACCCCCTTATTGCCAAGGTGGCGAGCGGCAGCGACTGCACGAATGCCTGACTTGTTGTTGCCAGCAAGGACCACGATGATTGATGATGTATGACTTATCGCCGAGGCGCTTATGCCGCCGGCTCCCAGCCTGATCTGAATTGCAGGGTCGCATAATGCTGCCACGGCCACTTCAGCAATGCCGCGGCCAGCATTCTCGGTCATCATATCCTCTGTAAGGCCGATTTCGTTCGCAGCGATATTCTCGAGGTTGAGCATTTGCAAAGCCGAAACTGGTTCAGCTCTGCGCTGCGACGGCACAAGGTAGAAGCCAGGCTGGGAAGCGAGGTTGGCGCGACTCGTAGGCGGGATCCCTGAAGCGCTCGCTTTCCGAGACTGTGACCTTTTACCCGCATTTGGTCTGTTACTATCCGTCCGCCGCATGCTTTGACTGCTCCTAACATCCCTTCCGCTCAACCTCTCGGGCCCCAGAGCTGCATCATCTGTCTCGCTATCCCAAAAATCGTTGGCCATTTTGGGGGTTGCGGCGGGGATATCGAGTACATTCTCGGTGTGGTGGTAGTTCTTTCCCCCGGCGGTTCCAGGCTTAGCTTTGCGGTTGTGCGAGACGAGTCGATCGCTCTCTTCGACGAGATCGTCTTTCTGCATCTGATTGAAGATAGTCTGCTTATCAAATTTGGCCAGCTCGCCCTCAAAGTCGAATTCACCCATCTCTTCCGTGACATCTTCAGAGGCCCACCCATTGTCTAGGACACCGTTTCCAGCCTTGCCGTTGCGCTTCAGCGCTTTGAATGGTTGGAAAGATGATGTACTTTGTAGCATAGGCGTTTGCCGCCAGCCCTTGCCGCGTCCGCCCTGCGGCAAGGAGGCTTCAAGTGATGCATCTTCGGCTGTACCGTTCTTTAGCGCCTTGTTTGGTCTGGCCCTGCGATTCCTCTTCTTTGGTGCCTGCAGTGGAGCATCTGCGGTTCCGGGAGTAGTATAATCATTCAGGTCTTGGCGATGAGACTCGTTATGAATTCTCAAGTCTTCGTGCTCAGTAGCCAAGTTAGCTTTTGTGGACTCCCGTCGTTGTACATGGCCAATGCTGGGGATGGACAGTCCACCAGGCTGCGTTGGTGGCCTTTCCAATTCCCCCATGGGAGGCGACTGTCGGCGAGACTGTGGGCGGGGTTGAGAACGAGATTGAGGTCGTGATTCCACAGGGGTTTGGCTGCCAGATCCCGGTCTGCGCCCAAGGCTGACAATGGCAGGGTCCGTGAACGAAGGTAGAGCGGGTTGACTGAGAACTGGTGCAGGTACGGAACTCGCACCTGGAGCCGTGAAAGTCTCGGGCGTGACCTCATCTTTGTACTCTGCCAGGTCGACGATATTGTTCGGTTCGAGAGTTAACCGCGGTATCCATTTACTCGAACCAAGGTGAAAAACTGCAGTGATTAGCGGGATAGCCATTTGGGGATATCCTGAGCAGGGCTTAAAACACACCATTGCTAAGCACAAGACTCTGTCCAGGTGTGACTTCGCTGACAGTGCCCTTAACCCGAACGCCGGGAGGGTCCTTGACCGTTACAAGCATCTGCAGGCCGATGAAGTCCATTGTAGCTGCTGGGCGACAACGGAATTAATGGCGGACCAGCAAATGAGATCTTCAAGCTGCTGCTTTGGGATTCAAGACGTCGTTGTCGAGACGCCAAGCGGGCGATTAGGTCCTCAGGCTGATAGAGGTGTGGAGGGAGGGATCGTAAATCTGGCGGGTGGGAATAGGGTGCCACGATCGAGGTGGTAACCTATTGCGTACTGTGGAAGTTGGAGAAGCTGGCCAACGCATAGGCAAGGTGGTCGATGGCTGTAGACACTGAGGATGGGACAGGTCGGCGGATTATAGGATTGGTCCGGGGCAAGAAGCGCTGAGGATGCAAAGGAAGTGTTTAATCTTTCTGCGTCGGTAGTCCCCCGCCACTACAGAAAGATGGCACTTTCCTTTTCCTTATCGATAAGCGACCCAGCGCAGCTGAGCCGCGGTGTTGCACTAAAAACCTACCTTAGGTGAGGTTTCGTTGTGCAGGTCCAAGCCGAGCTCAGTCTGGTATAGCAAGAAGGCTATTAATGGTTATGTTGTAGCATATCAGAAAACCTCCAAAGTATGATTTGCAGGCAGGGCAAACGACATGGCTGTGATACTCGGCGCTCGTGGGTTGTGGACACACGATGTACTCGGAGTTGCATTTTCATCACTGCAATCAGCGGAGCCTAAAGAAAGCGCCAGGCAGGTGCTTGCGAGCGAAGTCTTCGTGAACTTGGTCATGCTTTGACTTCAAGGTTACTGTTCTGGCTGGAACTGGGAGCCGGCCATGGCGTGTATCTCCCCTGGACGGACAGGGCAGGTGGTTTACAAGTCAATTAATTCGACACAGGATAGAGCCTGAATGTGTCTCGTACGATAGGTGATCAGATTAATGTCAAGAATTTCCTAGCAAAACAATATCGATCTTTGGACCAAGAGGCAAACAGCTGGAACATACTAGTAGATACCTACTCCGATAGATAGGTACCTAGGCAGGTGCTAGCTACGTATCGTAATGCGTGGCCAGCCGGGTGCCTGGATGTTTGGGCAAGGGTGGAATACGTTGGAAGCTTCTGTGACCGCCATTTCATTGGAGCTTGGGCCTTCTCTGATGTCTTACATAATTTAGGCCCCAGCTGCATCAACCTTGTTCCGCGCCTTCGTATGATCTCATTGGCCCACAATCTAGCGCCTCCCAGCAGTCGCCGTCACCTCGGAGCCTAGTCACCACCTGAAGAGTGGACAGCTCTCTCTGCAACCTATCCTGCGCCCCTTCATCAACCCTCCTTCCTTCCGCAACAAACCCAACAACCCTTCTGCCAACACCGCCACCAATACATCGGAAGAAGAACCACAACTCCTTCCCTCTCTTCTCTGCAAAATTCCGCAGAATCGAGATACCCGTACCAATCTGCCAAGAACCTCACCAGACACTGGCACAAAACACTGTTCACGAAGATTACGGCCAAAAGCCACCCCCCGGACACGAGCAAACAGATACCATGGCCGACCAGCCGGAGCATAAGAAGAAGGTCAACCTTCAGTGAGTCTCTTTCCCAAGGTATAACCATGTGTAGCCACTGGTCATGCTGTCGTAAACGTATGAATATGCTGCTAATCACTACCAGGGATGTATCTGGAGCAGAAATTAAGAACGTTCGTTGTCACAAAGATCTTCAAGCAGGAAAACACAAGCTGATGTTTATGTAGGAAGATGACACCGCGACTGCTATCCTCAAGAAGAAGAAGAAGGTGAATCAGTTGATGTAAGCCTGCGCTGCGGTCATTGTCAGTGGAGTGCCTGGCTGACGAGATGCAGGGTCACGGATGCCGTCAACGATGACAACTCCATCATCGCCCTCTCTGAAAACACCATGGAGGCACTGCAGCTCTTCCGCGGTGACACTGTTCTGGTTCGCGGCAAGAAACGCAAGGACACTGTCTTGATTGTGCTAGCAGACGACGATCTGGATGACGGTAGCGCCCGTATCAACCGCGTCGTCCGCCACAACCTTCGCGTCAAGCACGGTGACATGATCACTATCCATCCTTGCCCTGACATCAAATACGTGAGTGTCTGAAGACCAGTTGACTCTGAACAGGATCTGACTTTGTTTGTAGGCCAAGCGTATCGCAGTCCTTCCCATCGCCGACACAGTTGAGGGAATCACCGGCTCGTTGTTCGACGTCTTCCTCGCCCCGTACTTCCGTGAGGCGTACCGGCCCGTTCGCCAGGGAGATCTTTTTATTGTCCGTGGCGGAATGAGGCAAGTCGAATTCAAAGTCGTCGAAGTCGATCCTCCCGAGTACGGCATTGTAGCTCAAGACACCGTCATTCACTGCGAAGGTGATCCAATCGAGCGCGATGAGGAGGAGAACAACCTGAACGAGGTTGGTTATGACGACATCGGCGGCTGCAGGAAGCAGATGGCTCAAATCCGTGAGATGGTGGAGCTGCCCCTCCGCCACCCCCAGCTTTTCAAGTCCATCGGCATCAAGCCGCCTCGTGGTGTGCTTCTTTACGGTCCTCCCGGTACAGGCAAGACCCTCATGGCGCGAGCTGTCGCCAACGAGACAGGTGCTTTCTTTTTCCTGATCAACGGCCCTGAGATCATGTCCAAAATGGCTGGAGAATCGGAGTCAAACTTGCGCAAGGCTTTTGAGGAGGCTGAGAAAAATTCGCCCGCCATCATCTTTATCGACGAGATTGACTCCATCGCTCCCAAGCGTGAGAAGACCAATGGAGAGGTTGAGCGCCGTGTCGTCTCTCAGCTTTTGACTCTAATGGACGGCATGAAGGCTCGTTCGAACGTTGTAGTCATGGCCGCCACCAACCGCCCCAACTCTATCGATCCTGCCCTTCGGCGATTTGGCCGCTTCGACCGCGAGGTCGATATCGGCATTCCTGACCCTACTGGTCGCCTTGAGATCCTCCAGATCCACACCAAGAACATGAAGCTAGGTGACGACGTCGATCTGGAGCAGATAGCCTCCGAAACTCACGGCTATGTCGGTTCTGACGTGGCTGCCCTTTGTTCCGAGGCCGCCATGCAGCAGATTCGCGAGAAAATGGATCTCATTGACCTCGACGAGGATACGATTGATGCTGAAGTTCTCGACTCTCTGGGCGTCACTATGGAAAACTTCCGCTTTGCCCTTGGGGTCTCTAACCCCTCTGCTCTGCGCGAGGTTGCTGTTGTGGAGGTACCTAATGTTCGTTGGGAAGATATTGGCGGTCTTGAAAGCGTCAAGCAAGACCTCAAGGAGAGCGTTCAGTACCCTGTGGATCATCCCGAGATGTTCCTCAAGTTTGGCCTTTCGCCATCACGAGGTGTTCTTTTCTACGGTCCCCCTGGTACCGGTAAGACGATGTTGGCTAAGGCTGTTGCCAACGAGTGCGCTGCCAACTTCATTTCCGTCAAGGGTCCGGAACTCTTGAGCATGTGGTTCGGCGAATCTGAAAGCAATATCCGCGATATCTTCGACAAGGCTCGCGCTGCTGCTCCTTGCGTCGTTTTTCTCGACGAGCTTGACTCCATCGCCAAGGCCCGTGGAGGCTCTGTTGGGGATGCTGGTGGTGCTTCTGACCGTGTTGTCAACCAACTTCTTACAGGTGAGTGGTCTGACTGCTCAAGATTTGAACACTACGACTAATGAAATACAGAAATGGATGGCATGACGTCAAAGAAGAACGTTTTTGTTATCGGCGCCACGAACAGGCCTGAGCAGCTTGACCCGGCTCTTTGCCGTCCTGGGCGTCTTGACTCACTCATCTACGTGCCTCTGCCCGATGAAGAGGGCAGACTTGGTATTCTCTCAGCCCAGCTCCGCAAGACGCCCGTCGCCGCAGATGTTGATCTCAACTACATCGCGTCCAAGACACATGGCTTCTCTGGTGCTGATCTTGGGTTCATCACTCAGCGCGCTGTCAAGATCGCCATCAAGGAGTCTATCGCTTTCGACATAGAGCGTGTCAAAGCGCGCGAGGCTGCTGGCGAGGAGGCGATGGATGAGGATGCGGAAGACCCGGTTCCCGAGCTTACTAAGCGTCACTTTGCTGAGGCCATGCAGCTTGCGCGGAAGTCTGTGACTGATGTCGAAATACGTCGCTACGAGGCATTCAACCAGCAAATGAAGAACGCTGGGCCTGGAGCGTTCTTCCAGTTCCCGGAGGGGGATCCTGGTGCCAACGCTGGCGCCGGAAACAGCTTTGGCGATGCCGGTAACGACGACGATCTTTACGATTAAAGATCACATTGCACGTTGCGGGAACAAACCAGATTGTATTCTAGTTTTCTTTTGCAGTCAAACATCGATGGGTTAGTCGCACGATTGCCGCTGGCGACCGGGGGGTACGGTAACGTCACTCTCTCGGCGGGATACGAAGGATAAGTGAATTGATTGATAGACAGGTAGATGTACTGCAGTTCATCCATCCGGCGATACTGAAGCATTCGTTGGCATCCTTGCATGACTGATGATAACCTGAACTAGCAAAACAGCCCCAGAGCTTTACTATGGGCGACCTGGTAGCTCCAAGCCGACATATTCCGGCCACTGCAACCAGAACTGGCTTCTTTAGAATGCAGCGCATCAAAATGATAACAAGCACATAGAGTTAGAACTTGCCTAGAGCCTTAAACCATAACAAACCTTCCCAATGCGGCATTGTCATTCTCAGGTACGGTTCTCCCTTAGCTTGCAAGAAACGCGCAGGTTTGAGCAAGGGCCTGCTTTAGCTTCTGGTACGTTGGATGTTCTGAATCTGACTTGAAGTTGCTGCATTAAGACTCGTGTAGGCCTTTTATGATATCTCCTAAAACGGAGTCCCCCAGTTGAATCCACGAGTCTCAAGGTGGCTGTTGGTAATGGCGTAGGTATGTATGGATGATGGATTTAGGAGCGGTAGGGGAAAGCAGACAGGAGACGGAAATGATTGGGGATTTTGGAGCTTCATCTCCCGTTGCTCTCTTCGATTTCACAGACAGCCTCCAGGCTCTCGCGCACGATCTTTAGCATGTCGTCTGTCACGGCGGCAGGGATGGCTAGATTAGGTGTAGCGTCAGTGGCAGCTGTACCGTTGGACTTGCTGCCGTTTGTCTTCTGATTTGCTTCGAGAGGCCGTGCGAGTGTGTCGTGACGAACGTCGTCAAGTACACGTCGCAGAAGGGCCGGAAAGGTCGTGACGTCGCCAGAGCGCAGGAGTGTCGTAGCATGCGACTGGAGTTGTGTGGGCCAATTGGTCTGGTTGGCATTCAACGAATGCAGGAGCGCATCCTGTATCCTTTGAGGTTGTCAGCGCACGTAGGAGATAAGACACCGGGAATGTCACACTTTTCGACGTGACCTTCTTTCAGGAGAAGCGTATTGATCTGAGATCTAAGGTCTGGGTCGAGCGTTGCAGCTGAGTGGACTGCCGCCGAAGGCGACACCTTAATCGGTGTCGGGTGCGAATTCGACATGTTGATGCGATCGAAATGTTGAACTGGCGCGAAATTCAGTACATGTGCAATGTAGTAAGGGGAGGATCCAGATATTCATCTATCCAGATATGGACTTTTAAAGATAACTAACTTACTAAAAGAACTATACTTAAGCTAAGTATATAGTGTTAGTCGGTTAGTTGGTGATAGTGACCTAGCACTAGATGGCCCTGCCCTAGTCCCTCCTTAGGCACCCTCCTACTCTAGCCCTTAAAATACTAGGGTAGTTTAAAGGTTAATAATATAGACTAAAGGTCTAAATTATAGCTTATTACTTATAGAATATTTAAGTATAGCTATATTTTATTATTATATTTATAGATTTATTAATAATTATAATATATATTATAGGCGAGTATAGTATATAATATAAGGGGTTAGACGATAGGAACCTAACCCCTATTTATATTATCGCTAATATTTTAGTAATAAGCCTAAGTTTAAAAGAGAAGTTAAGGCTATACTCGATAGCCTTAATAAGTTAAAGTTAATATAATAGCTTAATGATTATTTATAAATCTACTTACTTTCCTTAACCTAGGCCTTTCGCTAAATACCTTTATATTCTTTTACTTCTATAATTTATAATTAATTAAGCTAGATAATAGATTAATTAATATATATTAGAATTTTAAAGCGAATCATTTATTATAATTGATATTATTTTAAAGATAAGATTAAGAGGGCTTTACTATTTATATAAACCCTAATCAAGTACTTCCTCTATATTTACGAGCTCTAAATATATAGGGTATCTAATATAAGTCTTATAATAATCAATTCTTAATTATCTACTTCTATCTTGAATTACTACTACTTACTTAGGTTAGATATACCTATCTATTTCACTAATTATATAAACTATAGCTTATATACTCCTAAGAGTAGTAGATCCTAGATATCCTAGATATCCTAGATATTGCTATCCTAATTATAGGGTTCCCTAGTATTAAATTAATACTAGCTCTTCTTTTCTTTATAGATAGAATAATTATAAGAACTAATATTAAGAGCTATCGCTAGGGTTAATAGCTACTCTAATGCGCCTATAATTCTCTAGTCTCTAGTATATTAGATCTATTCTTTTAGCCTTAAAGTAAATAACCTAATAATAGGAAATAATAGGAAATAATAGGAAATAATAGGAAATAATAATTAAGAATAAGGAAAACGTAGCTTAAACCTATTATTCCTATAAGCGTTATACCTCTAGTTCCTAGCGCCTTAGAGTAATAGAATTACCTATAAATAGCTCTCTAAGGAAATAAATTAAGTTATAATTTAAATAATAGGAATAGGCTTCTAAATTCTATTAATAAAGGAAATAAATTAGGATTTAATAATAAATAGCGCTCTTATAATTACTAAATATATACTCTTAAGGCCTCTAATTTACTAATATATTAATAGAATATAATAGAATAATTATTAGTTTTTTATAGGAATCTAATAGAATAACTTTAGATAAATTAAATTACCCTTTAAGGAGAATAATAGAGTTAAACTACTTAAATTAAATTAAATCTATAGATCCTTTTTACTTAGTATCGTTAATACTAGGCTCTATAGATCTATATATCCTATTAATAAGTTTTAATAATTCTATTCTATTTAATTTTCTTTCTCCTTATATCGATTTCTTTATTTTTCTATTAGCTAGCTTAATATATATAAATATAGTTTAAACGATTAATAAAACCCTATTAATATTACTCTTTCTTATCTTCTTTTTCTCTTATCCTAGTATTAATAATACCTCCTAAGTATAAAACCCTTATATTTAAAGCCCTTAAAGCTAAAAGAGTAGCTAAATATAAGAATATTATTAATATTAATTATAAGAGCTTATAAAGGTATTAGGCTAAGGGCCTAGATTAGGGAAAGTAATTAGATTAATAAATTATTAATAAGCTATTATATTAACTTTAATTTATCGAGGCTATTAGTAGATATCGTAATCGATATAGGAGGTATTAGGCAATAACTAAAGGTATTACTTAATTATAGAATAAAGAGATAATAATAGATAAGAGGAAGGGAGAGATAAAAGTAATTATATCTTAAGGAGGAGATATTAGGTCGAGAAATAGATTAAAGATTCTTATAGCCTTAAACGAGAGCTATAAGATAGTATATTTTTCGTTTAGATCGAAGGTAAATAAGTAGAAGGGTAATTAAGAGGAAAGTTATAATTAATTAAGAGAAGTTCTTAGATTAATCCTAATAGAAGTAAAGCGTATCTTAGAAAATATCTATTTATAATAGTTAAGAACGTATAAATTAGATAGGAATTACTATATAAGGGGACTTATAAGTATAATTAGAATTTTATTAAGATCTAAAAACCTAAAAAATAGGTCCGGGGGGTACCCTCTATATATAATAGATTAACCCTTAGTAGCTATACGTAGATAAGGCGCTTAGGTTACCTCTAGACCTGCGGGGGAAGTAGAGTTAGATTTAAGCTTTAGCTAATAGGGTATAAGAGAACTTAAACGCTTATTATTATAGAACGGCTATATAGAATATTATAAAAATTATATTATTCTATAGTTATAATTTTTCTCTATTTTATAATATATATATTATTATAGTTTAGCTTTTATTTAAGCTACTAGAGTAGTTATAAGGCTTTAACTCCTTATAATTCCTATACCCCCCTATAAGGTAGTATATATATAGGTATATAGATATAGTAGCTTATAGTATATATAGAGGATAAAAAAAATAAAACCTTATAGTATTATTATATATAGGGAAAAAATTAAAACCCTATAGTATAGAAAATAAATAAAAACTATATATTATATTATTATAGGAAAATCCGAAGATAAAAAACCTATTTAATACCTAATTTTAAGTACTTTACTATATTTAGGCTACTTATAGTCTATAGGTATAGTATTTAGACTCCCTATTTATATATATCTATATAGAGTATTATATATTATCTTATTTAAGCCCTTAGTAAGTATATCTACTATATTATACTAGGTATATATATAAAAAAGCTATATTTTCTTATCTTTTAATAGATTTCGGTAATAATAGAATTACCTATCTATATACTTGACCCTTTTATAGAATTTAGGAATTTTAGTTATTTTATTAGCTCCTTTATTATCTATTAATAAAGTAGGTATTTTAGGTTTATTTAAACCTAGGCCTTTAGATATCTTTAAAAAAATAGAAAGAATATATAGAGCTTCTTTAGAAGCTTTATATAAGGCTATATATTTAGCTTTATAAGTAGATAAAGCTACTACTTTTTATTTAGCTAAAACCTAGCTTATAGGGTTATTAATTCCTAAGGAATATATATCTAGAGGTAGAAGTTCTATCTTCTAATATATTGCTCTAGCTAGAGTCGCTATACCCTATTATATTAAGGGATTTATTATAGGTATATATAAGACCTATATCTAGATATTTATTTAAATAAGCCTATATTCTATTTAAAGTAATAAAATGCTCTTTAGAGGGGTTACTTATATATCTAGAATATCTATTTACTAAATAAGTAATATCTAGTCTACTATATAAGGCTAAATATAATAAAGAGCCTATTTCCTATTAATATTAGAGGATTTCTAAATTTTTAGCTTATAAGGAATTTAGTATTAAAGCTATTTTTAATATACTAAGCGTATCTACTACTTTTAAATTCAATTTATTATATTTTATAAGAATTCTCTTATAATATACCTTTTAGGATATATATAAAAGCTTTTCTTCTTTA